AATATATTATAAATATTATGGTACGAGATTGAATATAATAGTAATGAATATATATTATATATTCTGTGTCGAGGGCACTTGGCTTGCAACTCGTAAATATTAACTGATTACTTATTTATCCTCTTGCACTCCAATTGCCGAGCGACCTGTCGTTATCCGTGAATTTTTTGAGAGGAAGACTATTATCGGATAGAGTGTTAAGATTATAATATTACTACGCAACTTAAGCGCGAGTTTTAAAGGATTGGTCGTCGCGCCGTTCAGTGGGAAGCGACCGGGTGAACACCGAAAGAGACTAGAGCGTTGGATTACTTCTAAACAGATAAATCGATTACGCGTGGACGTACGTTGCCAATTTAAGTACTTCTTATCGTATTCGTGACGTCGAGGCGTTGTTTGTGCCGTTAAAGAGGCTGATGTTAAAAATGCATCTCGATGTACCGTGAGCAACGCACGTTTGCACACCCTCTGTTCTGTTAAACAGATTTAGGAAAAGAAGAATCTGAAATTTAGAAACTCATTTCTCGTCCGCGTTTTTTAACTTTTGAACAATGTATGTAAAATATTTAACTTCAGGTTTGACGTGTACAAAGTACCATATCTTTCTACTGCCAATTTAATAGAGCAAATGCGTGTCTCCGTGCGTTCCCAGCGAGTCACATGTAATCGTTCCGGTGTATTAGGTCTAATAATAATTAATGTCATTTTCCAATACATAAACAAACACTAAAAAACGACACCTATTATTACTAGACTTAATATAATTATGCATATGAACGATTATCAACACATATTAGCGTATGTAATAGAGCCTATCGCAGGAAAAAATGAGAAGCATAATAGCATAATAACAATTGGATGACACCGTTAAAAATATTATAGGTCTACAATTTTTTATTTCTATGCACAGAAAATCTTTTACAGTATTCTCGTTCCATAAAAGAAACTTGAACAGATTTATGGAACCGTGTTCTACTTTTACGATCATTGCAGGACGTTCATTTTTTTTTCGATCGGGTAATAAACATTCCAATTCTTGGAAGCTAATTTACAATTCTGAAATTGGCCCCTCTTAAAACAGGGCGACGTTCCACTGTCATAAAATAAATCGTTTCTATCCAGTTTGTTTTTTAACAATCTAAAAACGCTTCAGTATCCGAAATGATCGTCCTTTGACAATCGCAACAGGCTCTGATAAATCGAAATTGTGACGGTGAAAAAAAATCAGCACAAAACAGATTGGCGGAAGGCCGGATCGAAGGAAATCACTGCCAAAGTACATAAATGTGTATACAAGAAATCTTTCACGGCACAAGTCGAGACGCGGCGAGTTTTTCCGCCTCGCTCGAACCCCCTCACGGTCCTACTCGGACGCGCGAAAGACGTAGATATTTGTCCAGCAATGCTGCCGTATTAAATGGAAAATATAGATGAAAGGGATAACGCGAAATGTAGACGGGCGTTCGTAGCCGTCTGCGGTACACAACCTGTGTTCGATCTGTTCAGCCCGCGATTACGACGATGATAGCACGTCGAAACGATAATCGATTAACGCGAGAGGGTGAGATAATAAAAAGAAAGTTTTAATTAAACGGATATTACGCGCGGATATACGTCGATGTACAAAAATTCCTTGTGGTACATTTTTAACGATTTTAAGGTCACTTATTTCATTCGCTTCTATAATAATTTGTAACGATTAATTATTTAAAAATCAACGATGATGATCATGCTGCGATTACATTTGTATAGATGATAAGTACTACGTTAAGGGTATACATATATAATATACATATTTCGTATAAGTATGTGCATCCTCTAGAATACTCGTGTACGCGAGATTAAAACGAATCGGATCATTATAATTTGGAAAATTTAACTTAAATAAATGATTCCGGTCGAGCGAGTTTTTCTTTTCGCCGCGAGACGCGCGGACGAACGTTGAAGATATTTGTAAAACTTCTAATAAATTTACGGGGAAGATTTTAGTGTAATATTGTGAGAAAGCATGATCGTTGGCCATACAATGGAGTATATATATATTATATATATACATATATTTATGTTAAGTCTAGATATTAAATATGATTATAAAGATGACGGGATGTAAACGATTGCGAATACCTGAGAATGGTGTTCTCTGAAACATTTTTAGATTGTGAATTATTGATTAAAAGGTGATTATTGAAATCATGAAACCCGAAATTTTGTTAAAAGCCGCCAAAAATATTTTATGATTCATTATTCAATAGTGACGTTCGTTTCTATCTAGTTTTTCTTTTCTAACGAGGGCCCAAAGCGAAAAGCATCACCGATGAGAAAACACTTTAAGAATAGTTCAGAGATCGCTACTTTAAACATTAAACTTTAGAGAGAGGGAAGAAAGGAGTGATTAAAATCGCTGTTTAACAAAAAAAAAAATGGAAGAGATCGATGAAATTTTGAATGTTATAAAGTCGATAAACGAAATAATGCGTATAATACTATACACGGACACACACAGACACACAGTCTACACCCACGCCTCAGTATGTATACTCGAACACACTGCGACCACATAAGAAACGAATATGAAAAGGAAAAACATGAACATTTTGTATCTGTACTTGTAGATACAACGCAATAGGCAAGAGTAAATCTAATTAAGAATTCAAATGAAATTAATATATAGAAGAGCTGTATGTAATTAACTGTAAGTTCATTCATCGCTATGATATTATACTTAGGTATTATATGATTTTTGAAATAAAACATTTGTTTTAAATATAACACAAACGTACACGAGAATATGCCATCCTGATTCTTTGAACATCTCTACGTATTTCTTCAGCAATAAGTGTTTGTCTGGTTCTTAAGGATTTATAGGCTATTTCTTTCAATTATTTTCAGGTAACACGACGTCTAGGACCCTCGGCGAGTCGTGAGTATTTACACACTTGTTTAAAGGTTTTGTAGTTGATCCCTTTTAATGGCACAACGCACATTCGGTGTTCCAATATTTTGCACTAAATTTCGTAACTAATATTCTTTTTTCCTCGCTTCTTCGTTAGCGAACATACTTCAACTTATCAAATTTCTGTTCCCATCAGTAAAGTCGATATTTTAATACCGTAATATTTATCTGTTTTATACACGTGAACGCTATAAAAGAACGCTCGAATGAGAATTTAGATAAAGGAAAATAGAAACCATATCTGACTTTCATGTAGAAATACATTTATCTATCGGTATTTACCGTATTACCAGGAAATCGTACACAATCCGAGACTATGCAGATCCGGCAGCGAGTATTAGACTACTTCGTTTTGAAAAATCGAAATCCACAGGCGAACCCAATAGTCCAAGGCAAGCTTTTTTCTACTTCTTTCACAAAAAAAAAAAAAATCAAAAATTGCCAATGTCGATTCATCATTTTGTGGAAAATGCCAAACACATACATACATACGTAACGTTGGCTTTACATGCAACACACGTGTATTACATCCAATTCATATCGCTTGTAATAATAGCTAATGTGAACGATCTTTAACTTTCTTACTAATTGTAAGATTGAAAACGATCAACTGCATGGAAAGAATTCATTTGAACGAATTAGCTAAATAATCAGATTGTTTTTTAAATCAGCTTAAAAAAAGAGAAATATCGATAATGAATTGCAAAAGTTAGTTTTAAAATTCAATCGCTTCTTTGTGTCTGAGTTTAATAGTCACTCTGGGCGCAGTTAAAAAAGGACTGTGATATTAACTGTGATCGATTTATCGATTTCTGACGAGGATTATACGATAATTGCTTATTAAAGTCCACCTCATACATGCAATTTCGCTTGAGGAGGTCAGCTTTTTTACCCATCCGTAACGAGCTTGTTGATCAATTACCCATGCGTATACGTCTCAATTTTATATCCGATCCTATCAAGATAAACCATCTTGACACAATTAAATTTTTCTCTGATCGAACAAAGGTTGAATTGAATAATCGACTTTTCCTCGTGTCCAAAAATTGATCCTTTTCTATTTTACATTCCATTCTTCTGTTTTTCCATTAATAATAATTTTAAATTATTTGTTTTATTCACACCGCACGAATAGAATGCACTGGCTTCTCCCTCACAGTTATATTTATTTACTAATCGCAATCAAGTTCAGTATTAACAGTCAATAAATCAGGACACAAGAAAAAGTTCCATACATCGCAGCCATCACACCTACAGTAAAAGACATGATACATAAATCGTTTTACTATGTAAATGCAGCTTGAATCTTTTAATATATACTGACACGTAATGCAAATATAAACGCGTTCAACGGTTCATTTCCAGCAATCACGATCGATTAGTTCCCGGCAACAACATTAAATTAATTACACTATTTTTCCATCAGCCGGCTTCTGCGTTTATTTATTCGCGCGTCATAAATCCAGCTTTCTGTCATCGTGCATACATATTGATTATATAAATATTTGATAATTTATAAGTTTCATAATAGTGAGTGTTAAATCATTCATAAAATGTGACGAAGTCGTTCCAGATACTCCACGTGTATATTTGTCTTATTGAAGTCTTATGTAGCTTTAAAGAAAATGTTTTGCGTCGCTTGAGACAATACTAAAGTAATGTAAGAGAAGATAGATCGAACGGATTCCCATTAAACAATTAAATATGAACGAATTGTGTTGATTAGAAGTGATACGGAAAGTGCCGGCCGATACTCCAGAACGGAAGTCGATGGATCTCGAGGACAACGAAAATCCAAAATAAATCTGTCAAATATCTTTAAGCGGAATAAGGACAAGGTATCTGGCGCAGACACAGACACCATGAGGACTGTCGTTACGGTCGACGATGAAAAGGTAATTAACTCGCTGCCGCGCAATTCATCTGAATGACGTATTCGTTCAATTATGACGTCTGACTTACAAATAAATACTTTGAGAGATAATATTGTTCCATAAATAAACGAGATTTAAATATCACGAGTTGTGTTTACTCCCGTTGGCTTCTTTTATATACTGAGATTCGCTAGAAATCGCGCGTTACATCACAGTGTAATCTTGAGAATGAAACACTTAGAACGTTCAAAAATTAAATTATCTCAGGCTATATGTAATAACTTTTATCGATTTGAAAATTAACTAAGGGATACCTGCATAATAACACAGAATTTTACTTCTTTCTCTATGAGTAAAGTAATTAATTTACTATATATTTTAAATGCAATGATGTTGACTTAAATACTACAGGTTCAAACTGCCGCGCCAACTGATCAAGAAAATAAACCGAATCCTTCCCCTGGCGAAGGAGGAATTGTTTATGCAGAATTAGATTTGACGCAGCAGCAACAAAATGCCGGACGTCGTTTGAACGACGACAAGACGGAGTACGCTGAGATTTTGTATACGAAACCAGCGACCGAAGAACAAGAAACGCCTAAAAACGAGTAGACTTCCAATTCCAATCGTTTGCGCAGAAAGGAAACCTTTTGCAAAACAATCAAACATTTGTATCTTTTTATTATTGGCAAACTAGTTACTCTCGTTTAATCCTTTTCGGTACTAATGATAGAATTCATAAATCATTTTATCATGAACTTCGTATCGTCGGTATACTAGAATTCAAAATTCAAATTTTATTTATTTTAATTTTATTTATTATTAATGTTTTATTTGTACTTATGAGACCAGTTGGCCTCTTACTGGTATATCGACGATATACTTTAACTTATTTGCAGCCATCGTAAGAATGTAAGCGTGACTTAACACAGTATATGACAACTAATCTTAAATAAAAATGATAAAAATTTTTTTATACAAAAATAGTATCATATTAACAAATTTCGTCGATTACATTAAACTGAAAAGGATTTCACTACTTATGTCTTTTTATTTACTGTCTAGTTACTTTATAAACTACTTGTAAGTAACTTTACCTGATCATAAAACACAAAGATCGAAAATGTTTATTAGTAAAAAAAGTTCGGTCACAAATTTTACTGATGGCAACGTAATGCTACATTCAAATGGACTTCCAAAACTCAAAAACATAATACTTGCTGTAATCAAAATAGGAACTCTTATAATTACCTTATCTTACCTTAAATTTACCTCTGATAAATTCTAATTGCTAAGAGTGCTAATTTCCAATAATTTCGACAACTTCTATGCGAAATGTTAGTATACTATTTTTTGCATTTATCCGTTGATGGCCACGAGTACATTTGAAGTTAATTATTATAATTTTATAGAACAAAACGCGATCTTTTTGATGCATTTTAACAGTAGATACACGTATACATATAATTTGCCTTTTGATACTCGTCCATTATTCACGAAATATCGAGAAGCATTTAAAAAATTCAGTAAGAAATAATAAAATCAAAGTGACTGATGCGACGTTACGAAAGTATGTGTAGACTGTAGATGGAACAAAGAAGAGGAAAAAGCCTGACCATTCCTTTAATGTTAAAACTACCTGAGGATTAGAAAAAGATCAGGTCTAAAAAGAATTGGACGGTTTTTCCAAAATAACCATAAGATAATAATGACATTTCGTATTGACTCTTTTACGATATAAAAAAAAAAGCCATACAATCTTTATGCTGTCGATTTGGTATTCAGATACTAAAAGCAACAATTTATTTGCAAATGAATCTATTTTGTGAAAATGTATGAAATTCCACGAACCGTCTTTTACACTGTGACATTTTTTCTAACGTGACGATATTAAATACGAATACTAGATTCTATCTACGCGAGTACTCTCTTGTTAATATTGTTATTACGTTTAAATGTAATCAGAACGTATAAAATCTGTAACGTAAGTGCTATTCATTTTGAAAGTCGCTTGAAAAGTTCGCTTCCTATAAACGCTGTGAATATGTACAAGACGAATCTATCGAATCTATCGAATTCTACGAAAGTTAAAACAGAGTAAAGATATAAATGTTGAAGAAAAAAATGATATGTATAAACGATACAAATTCTGATACTATTTGCCGCATTCATTTATAAGGTACAATATTTTAATTTTTATATATATATCATATACGAGTTGTGAATTCAGATAATAATTGAATTGGTGTATCCGTGTCACTTTGAACCATATCAAACAGAATGATCCAAGCTGCTCTAAAATGCTGTAAACCAGGCGGGGATGACGAACTGATGGGTGGTTCGCGAGCCACTTCCGGCTCTTATCTACTCCAGCCTCAGCTTCTCCTTCTATCCAGGAGCACCGTAACTCATTGCTTTTCAACGACTAGCTCTTCATTCTCTATTTCTGTGGCGACGTGAGATTTCACTCGCGACGGCACAGGAGCTGCACTCATTCGTTCTATTATTTAGTACATGTGATCGTCTTAACAGAGTTGAGATATACGAATATACATAAACGAAGGGCTTTCGGCCAATCAGGCCTGTATTGCTTCCAGAAGAAGTCACAATATGCATTTTTTAGAAGAAGTTTGTCATCCCTGCTGTACACTACGTTTGTATATTGTGAATTTTTGTATGCTTGAAAGTTATACATATACATATATATTATATAAATTGTATGAATTGTATTAATTTTGCTTTTATACTGCTAAGAATTATGTAACTATCATTAGACGCGTAAAATATTTATATAAGGATGCGTCGCATATTTTAGTATTACTTAATATTTGTGTAACTACGTAATGTTTCTTGTGACAATTACTTATATTTTATTATAATTTTTTGTTAACACCATGCAATACATATGTGTCATTTTAAGTTTAGCGTTATATCATTGTCATAGGAGATAATGTTTTTTTTTTTTTAAATAATATTCGTCAATTAATTTGATAATTTGACTGTTAATTTCCGTCCACCATTGAACATTCTTATTAGTTTGTACGTTTGTGTCAAATAAATTACGATTCGATTAACATAATTGTTTCATTAATCCTTGGGAGTTGATTATTCATTAGTGTGGCAGATATAAGTTCATAATGATTAATAAAAAGTTATTAAGAAAAATGAAAATGATCTTTGAAATAAATGATTACGAAATCGACTGTCATCCTTTCGCATTTATGTTGTTTACGTTACACTTCTTTCCCGCTTGCACTCTATCGATATTAGATCACATACGCGCGTGCATATAAGTTATGCAAGGAGCGTTATTCAATAAGTACGTTGCAAAATCATATTTTAAATGATGAAATAAGAATATGTATTTGTGCAGAATAATTCTGTTTTCGCACAGAAGATACTGCGAAAATTGTTTAAAAATTTTGTGTATACACTTGATAAAACTGATTCCCGATATAAAACTCAACCAATAGCTGTCTCATTAATTTAATTAAAATCACATAAAAATATGTACACTGTTATTATAGTTAGAATCATATTTCATCGTACATCTATAAAAAAAAAACAGTAACAAGATTTAACAAACCCAGTGACAAACCTTATACTGAAGGAACAGATATTGTAGATTAACAGATAAAAAATTTTATTCAATTTCAAGATGTAATTTTTGCTAAAGTTTCACGTAATACTCTTGCCACAAAATCTATTTAATCATCTTCCGCACCAGTCTCGTCAGTAGCCTCGACCTCCGTCTCCGTATAAGTGTCGCCTTCAGTTTCATCTTCTCCGGTAACTAACGAGTTCTCTTTCGGTTCCGTTTCTTCTTCCGTGATAGTGTGTATATCTCCTACGTCAACGGCCGATTCGCTACTGATACCGACCCTCGACATCTTATCGCTCTTCGGAAGCCGATGTTTGTAAGACTTGTAAACATCTTTAGCCATATCAGCGGCATGAGCGCGGAAGAGCTTACGAGCATCGTTCGTGAGGAAGCTCGGGGCAGTGGTGCATTCAAGCGGCATCGTCGGTGGAGGCCGAGTGCTGGTGAAGTCCATTACTCTAGGATAGTCATCGCATGCTGCCAGCAAGTCGGTGATCGACATTTGCACAGACTGCGTAGGCTCGAACGAGTCGACGACTCGTTGCTCGCATTCTTTCGGCACGTGTTCCACCAACTGAGGATCAAACACGGGCTCGGTCTTTTCCAGAGGAGCAGCCTGTCCTAGATTCAGATGCCACGTGGTGCTGATAAGCACACTGGTCTTGTTCGTCTCGTCCAGCTTCGGCTCGAAAGAAGGTAACTCAGGATTCTCCAGTTCGTGGCCTTTCAGTATGCCCAAAGCAAGATTCTTGCGATACATGAGATAAGAGCCACCTTCGGGTGCTGCTTGAGCACCTGGCATGAACACGCCAGACTCGTCAGCTCTCCCTGGAGTGGTTCTGAGAGGCTCCAGGAGGACCTTCTTCTTCACCTCGTGCGACTTTCCTTCTCCCAGGACGAAATCTTCTTGCTCGAACGTGAACGAGACAGGCGTCAATCGGTAATCGAGTCTCTGATTCGTGTTCAGCATCTTGATCACGGCGTAGACCAAAGTGTTCATGTTCCTGCAACGCAGGACGTAGATAGCGCCGTGATCTTTGTTGAACAACGGTGGCCCGACCCAACAAGGATCGGCGATGTAATATCCGTCCTTCGCTGCCAATGCCGCTAAGGTGATCTTATTGCATTCAATGATAACGTTCGGTGACTCTTCGAAAGCTTTCAGTAAACCCGTCGCAAAAGTCATTCTGTTTCGAGCACCGTACAGGACACCGCAAATAGGCTCTTTGAAATCTATCGTCCACAAATGGGGGAAGATCTTGAAGCACAATTGCAAGTTGAACTTGTTGTAATGTTTCGAACATTTTTGTATGGAACTTCGTAAGCTTTCCGTGTAATAAGAATCACCGCAAATTACCGCTGAGTCTAAAATAGCTGGTCCCCATCTCGATGGGTGACTGAGATACTGCATCGCCAGTACAGCCACGCAGATAGCCGCCTGATTTTTCCCAGCTCGATCGCCAAATCGAGAATCGTACGATCCAATAGTGCCCCAAACTGAGTAAATGAGATTCGACACTTCGACGGCGTAATTATTCCAGAATTGTTTCACGTTTTCATCTTTCTCTTCGTCTTTCTTCTTCTTGGTGCCCGTCTTCACGATATCTGGCGCGTGCCTGAAGTTCCAGTGATAATCCAAATACAACCACATAGGATCCTCCTTGAATGTTGTAAACGCTGGCACGTTCACCGAGTCCACGTGGAGCTGATGAATAAAGAAGCCTGAGGTATCCTCGAATTGATTGAGACACATGTGTCTCACCATTTGACAAACACTAGGGAATATACAAAGACAAGCCTTCCCACCGCTCGCGACTTTCCTTCCTTTCTCGTTGCACTGATAAGGATCCAAATAATAATACGCGTTGGTGGCTCTCGAATACCAGAAACCATAACAGCAATTAGAGAAATGCAGAATGCCGCTTGTGTTCGTTTTGAAGAACTTCTTCACATGCTTTCTTACTTGCAGATAAAAATCGTTTCTCATAGTTCTAGGATTAACGGTGAGCGTCACCAAAGGAGACGCGCAATCACGAAAATCGAATATTCTGTTCATCACCGTAACGTTACGCAAAATATGTTCTAAATGGAACTTCGGCTCTGCGAATTCTCTATAAACTGCTTCAGCTACTTCTAATACCTTGTCTATCATTCCTGGCATCGGACTTTGAATAATATCTCTCTTTACCATTACTGCTAAAACGGCTACGAAGTAACATCGCTTGACTTTCGGTTCAGTGATCGTGTCTCTGTTAGTTAAGCCAACTGTTCCGAGTATGTAGATCGGCTTATGCGACTCGGGTACCGTGTTCCTAAAGATCGCTTCGAGATCGTACGGTTTTGTAGTCATTCTATGAATCTCTGCCAACGAAGTGGCTGGCACTACTGGTTCGTGCAATCCCTTCGTGTCACTACAGTCAGGGTCGACTTTCTGCGCATAAGACACAGTAATGACTCTCATCATAAAAACTGTTTCGTCCGGTTGATCAATTTCCCTAACGAGAAGTTTCAAAAATTCCTTTAAATCGATCGAGGTAATGATACGCAAATTCTTCGTTCGCCTGACCGTCCACCAAGCAAAGTGATTCTCATCTTTCTTTAAGACACCGATGTGAATGTCCCCGCAAACTATAATCGCGCCTGTATAGCTGGGCGTCTCGAATACCTTTTGCAAGGACATAGAAAGGTTCCAACCTTGAATGGTATAAAGGGTTCCGTAATGCAAAGGTACGAACACGACTCGGAACGTGTAATTGGCTATTTCGAATTCATGTAGTAAGCCGTCGGTCATTTCGCTGACCGTCGAATCCTCTGTGGCCAATACGCTGTCAAAAGCGTAATCAAGCGCGGCGTCGAACAATCCTCGGACCGTTCTGACTGACCAGGTGATCGGATCGTGGATTAACGACCAGGCCATGATACAAAGATCTAACGGAGTAGTGACCGCCGAGTGAGGTTTGAATTTCCTGTCGTAAATAGGTCTCCTGACTAACAGCCTCACCGCCTGATATTCGTCGTCTACTTGCTCGGATTCCCTCAAAGACGATTTCTTGAAGGGTGCCAGGATCGGTCTGGTGATCTCGTTCTCCAGAACGATCACGTCAAACATCGAGGCGTTACAATTTTCGATAGGAGCGAATCCGGGAATCGACATGTCGTACACGAGACTAGTTTTCGACTCTAGCTTCACCCAATCAGCCTGTTCGATCAGCGACGCCTCCGACTCAGTAGACGATTCTACTTCTGGCGCGTGATCCTCCACCCGGACCTCTTCTTCTGGCTTCTCCACGCATCCACGCGTCTTTCTCTTTTTCTTACGCTTCTTCTTACGTTTTCTCGTCTCCATATGAGCTATGCACACCGTGTAAATCCGATACGGTTTCTTCACATTTTCCCCGACGTTGTTCTCGATCTTCTCGATCATCGCGTTCTGATCGCAGAACTCCATGAAACAGGAATAACCACCTTCCGTCGCGTTTCCTTTGTCATCGCAGGCGTAGGGATCGAACAAATAAAATCTGTCGTTCGCTGTCCAAAGCGCGTACGAGCAGTTCAAGAAAACGATGATCCCGGTTTTGTGCTTCTCAAAGAAATTGTCCAACACAAATTCCAACTCGTCGTCGTCGCAGTTTTCCGGATCCGCGTATACAGTTTGCCTGGTGATCACGTTGTAAAGCGTGTCGACTATCTCAATGTGGTGGAACCATCGATACGGTTTATATCGAAGTTTCCCGGTTTGTTGATAGATCTTGTCGCCGAGGAAAATTAATTGATCTAAGATGCTCGCGCTGAACTGATCTGGGTCCAGCTTGATCTTCGTCAAGATGCAAAGCAAGGCAGTGAAAAAGCAAGATTTAAAATGACAGATCTCTTTCTCGGCACGGTTCTCAAGGCATATGTTACCAAAGAGTACTCGGATTCCCTCCTCTTTCACGAGCTTTGAATAAAAATATGTATCAATAAAATATGATTTAATATTAAGCAGTTCATTTATTCAATTCGAAGCTAAAACTTACTTTCAAACCATAAACATCTTGAACTGGTTTCTTCTTATGGGGAGCACTAGTTTTTCTAATAGTCGTGGTAGTTTCAGAGCCCACCTCGGATGCTTTAATGCTCTTTGTCTTAGACTCACTTTCCCTGAGTTCGTGATGAGTCTACCAGAATCGTGAAAAAACCGTCAATAAAAATTATCCTCCTACGTATCGTAAGAAACGAACCTGATCTTTAGCCTTGTAATCAGGGAAGAGCAGTTCCAACAACAGATCCTCTGTGTTGCACAGAATCTTCTCCATGAAAGCATCTCCTTCGTCAGCTCTGGACAATAGGCATTTCCGTTTCTTCTTCTCCATGCAGGTGATTACCTTCTTTTCTGGGATTGGCGTTCTTATGATCGGCCCAAGTGGTATCAACATCGGCCGTATGCGAATTCCAATAGGTACCTCCGGCACGTCGTCGCGAATAAAGTCCTTAGCTCTTATCCTCTCTTGCTCCAATATTTGCTCCTCTTCGTCCTGCATTGCTTTGGTAATATCGTCATCCTGAATATATATATCGTTAATAGCTCGCATGGGCATCAAACAAATCGGCAGAATTCGAGAGTACAGGTATCTCTTCGGCGAGAGTTTGATCATCTTCGAAGGTTTACTATCCTCATCGACGATGCCTCCCGGCATCATTATCGTCGATCTAGCCATTAATATCGTAGAAAGTCCACCTTTCTTCTTCACGTCTAATCTAGAATCAATGGAGAACCTCGACACCAACGAAGGAATGGATCTCTTGGCTCGTTTCGCTTCCAGCAGTTTTGCCAATGTTTTACCAGAAGGCATCACGTACGGAGGAGGATGATCGTATTTCAATTTTTCCAACGCTATTTGTTCATGCACCTGATCGATGGTCTCTTCGTTTTCATCAAAGATTTTCATGTTGGACGTCAATAAAATCAGATTCAAACGATAGGGTGCGTCAGGTTGATCTTGTTCTTCGACCTCGAGCAGAGGATCGATTATCGGCTTCTCTTCTTCCTCGTCCACCACACCGGGTTTACGTTTTTCCTCCTCTTCCTCCTCCTCTTCTTCTTCCTCGCCTATATCTACGATATCCGCGGCATCTACCTCTTCCTCTTCCTTCTCTGCTGCCAGTAGCTCGGCCTCCAATCTATCCAGGTCATCGTCCGTAATCGGTAAGAATCTCGTCTTGAACTGTTCGATCGCAGTCTCGTCGGGCAGTTCTATCTCTTCCTCGGTGGCGAACAAACCGGGTTGAATCGAATCCAGTGCCACAAAATGAATTATGAACGAAGGGTCGTTGAATTCCATCACACCATAAAGAAGATCAGTCAGTTCGTTCAAGTTCCCTACCACCGCGAACGATGCTGGATTGTCTCGAATACGCCAACCCTCCTCGTCGCTTCCATACGGATTGAACATGCAATAAATCGTACCGCTCTTCCAAATACCATACATTAGTCTCTTGTTCTCCAGCACCAATTCCGAGTATCGTTTGAAGTAACATTCCAGAGCCTCGGCGAGATTTGCAAGTGGCATCGCCTCACCCTGAATAAGTTTCATCTTCGTCTTATAGAACACGTCATTTTCTCCCATTTTCAATCTCACTGGTAGCATCGTTAAATCCAAGTGACTCGGCCTAGGCAGCAATTTTTCCTCTTCCTCGCCTTCCCCTTCGAGTTCCTCCTCCTCTTCCTCCTCTTCCTCCGCCTCGCCTAACATCTCTTCCTTTGGTTCCAATATAGCAGGTCGCCCTTTTCTTATCCAGTCTACAACGTCTTCATAGATCGTGTTGCTCACGTCGATCAGTTGATCGATGTCCATGTTTCTCCACTTCGTAGGATCTTTCAGTTTTCTATAAGCAATGGCCGATAGGGCAGCGATCAATCCCTGCTTCCCTCTCGAATGTTCGTCGAAAGCTTCGTCCAAACAGTTCTTCGAGCCACGAATTAATAACCGATTAGGGTTTACAACTTTGTAACCCCTGACAATTCTCACGACTGGCTCCTCAACCGGTTCCTTCTCTTCTTCAGGTTTTACGTATTCTTCTTCTTCTGCAACTTCTTCTTCCTCCTCCTCTTCCTCCTCTTCCTCTCCTTCGCCTCCAGCTTCCGGTTCTTCTATTGGTTCTGCAGGTGGCACGATCACGTATGTCACCGGCTCGTCCTCTGTCATCATAAAATTTTGTGCACCTCTAAGCATGTCCGGCACTTGAACCTCCACGTCTCTCATCTTATCCATGTCGGCTCGTATCTTCGGCGTCATGTCGACCATCTCTTGCTGCTGTTTCAGATCCTTCTCCGTTACAGCCGGCACCGTCGGTGCCTGCGGTCTACGATTTGTACCCTTCTCGCGATAGATCACCTTCTCCAAAGGTCCGCCAGGTGTGGTTCCGGTTTTCACGTATAAAACCCTGATTCCGTGGATCACAAACGGATCTCTGTCCCTGCTTCCCGTGTTCTCCATAATGGTCTCCATCACTTGATTGATCGAACTGTTCATCGTCACGCAAGCAGCTTCGCCTGCCTTCTCGTACCCATCCAGTTCAGCCATACCGCTCCTAAATCCCTCGTCGTCGCAAGCGTAAGGGTCCATGAAATAATACGTATCGTCGTGCCTCCAAATCGCGTAATAGAAATTTTTTATTTCCAATAAACCGCATTGTTGAGTATCGAAGAACTCGCGAATACCATCGTCGATGCTAAGTTTACCCTTTTTCTGCCCGTAGCCAGGTACGACGTTCGTGCGAATTTTTATTTTAGCAGAATAAGCGCCGAGGATGATGTCGCCCATAACGTCGTCCAAACGGAGCTCGAATTCTTCGTCTTTCAAGTCTTTATCGAGCACGCGAACCAAGTCGACGAAGTATATATTAGATTGATTGAAAATTAAGTCGATTAGGGCACTGGTCCATTTATTCGCGTTTACTAGCCGGGAATATACCAGCGCTGCTAGAGCTATGATCATGTAGGTTCGACCGCGAAGAGGCGCCGGGATTGCTGGGTGCGTTATGTGATAAGAACCCTGCACGACTGCTCGGTACTTTGCCTGCATTTTGTAACCGCTCGGCCTTCTTTGTGGTATCTTATGTGGCTTCTCCGCTTTCTCAGCGTCGACTGATTGGGTATAATGGTCGACGCCACTGATCTCTATGGCGTAAAGACAGAACGGCTCATTCTTCACATTGCTCTTCTCGAGGATAATGAAAAGGAGGCCAATTAAATCTTTGACCAAAAACAACTTCGACGTTCCACTCATTTTGTCGGGTGCCGGTTCACAGTTCTCCTGTCTCGCTTGACCATCGAACAGATTGTAATACTTCGAGTCTCTCCAAATTGCTATGTTCAACACGGACGAGCACAAGATTCCGGCTCTGTGACGTTTGAAAAATAAATCAAGCGCTTTCACCAGATGCAACTCTGTGGGCTCGGTGGAACGAAATTTTCCAGCGTAAGCCGCCTCTTGGATGCTGACGTTCACTGTCAGCCTATTCTGAACGCACAGCGTTCTCTTTAAGTCGAGGATCGACAGCAGTCGTCGATCGTCGGTGTGTATGTCCTTGTATGATTCGCAGTAGAACGTGTCGCCGTCCTCGATGATCTGATCGATGACCGCCTCGTTCCAGCAATGGGACTTGTAAACGGTTGTGGCCGCAAATGCGGCGATCGCTGACGCACCACCCTGTCATCGAAATAATAGGCAACAAACGTGTTATAGTAGAACAAAGTCACTTATCATCCTGATCATAATTTCATCGTTGATCGGGAACAGAAAATAGAGAAAGTTCAACAACTGTTGAAGAATTAAGGCGAATAATCGATAACATCTGAGCATTTTCTAAAACGCCTTAGGTGTAGTTATTACACGGACATTGTAAACCCACAATCACTCTGACTCGATCTCAAATTATAAGAAAAATTGCAAACCATTGGATACAAGCATATATATAATATAATATTATATATATAAAATAGAGTAAAAAAAAAAATAAGTATTTACCTGATGACCTTTGGATAATGGTGAAAACTGTGGCATATTTATATGTGTTAAACCCGCGCGCACGCCGTATCGAACGCATGTCGGGAGTTCAGGCCTGATTTCAGTTAAAGAGTACGTATCGTTCGGCAGTTCGAGGTAGAAATTTAAATCTTTGTACTGCTCCTCGAGATCTTCGTCGAGTTCATCGCTGCTCGGCGCATTGTCATCGGCACCGCGAACAACGTCCGTCACCTGACCGATAGCTTGCACGGTCTCCGAAGAGACGATCTCGTCGCATTCCGCGAGTTGCTTTAATTGCTCTCGGAGATGCTCTTTCTTCACTCTTTCCATTTTCAAACACTGATTTCCCTTTGTCTATCCCAGTCACAACAATAAATTGTAACACTTGGAAATTAGTGATATTCCAAAAACAGGGGAAATCATGAATGGTTTCATCAAATACACTTGTAGCATTTTAGATTCGCATCTTGTGACTCACTGCACATTGATTTGTCAAAGATTTTGTTACAAGTCTTACGTATTTATAAAACGTTGTTAAGGTATCGGACATTGATAACTTTCATTTTTATATAATTTTTACGATACTTAAAATTTTGCTAGGTTTGATAGGTTTTCTGTCGAGGTGATAAGACAGAGTGCGATATGAAGTTAATTACAGATGTAGATGCATTATAATGTTGTGTCAAGCGAGAAACAAATAATCGAAATATATTACAGTTCTCTTGATAAATTCACAGACATCAGAAAATGCATCCACCCAAATTCCGCCCCGGCCAAACCTTCTCATAGTTCATCATGGATTTAATATAAATAGTCAATTAACGGAACTCAATCAATATGGTCATATAAAAGACAGTGACAAAAATTCACCCCACTATCAATTCATCAACTGCAATAGACACTAAAAGTATCATTTCCCAAGAAGTTCGATGGTACCTAAAAGAGGCATAAACCGTACTACCGATTGCGAAAAGTATTTGAAATGGAAGGCAGAACGTGCACAAAAATTGCAGAAGAAGAAGAAAGTGAAAAAACGGAAAAAGAAGGAACCTGTTCTCGATTGCGTCGATGAGGACGAGATACACGTAAGTGAAGATCCGCAAGTGCCCAAGACCAGAAAATGTAAGGACAAGAAGAGGAAGAAGAAGAAGAAACCATCACGGTTGATAAGGAAGATATACAAACATATTCCATACGGGGAACTATTAGTGAATTGCATAAAACCGTCACTGGAAGATAGAGAATATCTTATTAATCCAATTCACGCGAGATGCTTGGGTCTTGATACAACGAAATTGTCTTTCAAACCCGAAATCCCACGTAAGATCTTAATCTTAAATGCATAGTGCGTAAATAGGTATTATTGAAACTATTATTTATTTAAATATAAGTATTTCATGGTTTGAGTATTTACTCGAATTCATTTCTCTGCCTTTCCTAATACTGTTTGTTTAAAAATTAATGCGATTGCATTACACCACAGAGTTATGAAAACAATGTAATGTCACATCACGTCAACAATTGCGATGTTAAAATACCTTACGCGTTTCTGCGACAGAATTAAGCCAGACTTACGTAGTTCGCCGCAAGAAGAGTGTCAAGATGAGATTTCCATGTTCGAAAGGAAAGAGAAAACCGAAGCGATATCCTAAGACTTTGAAAGAGCAAGAAGAAGACGAAGACAGCGAATGCGACAGTATTTGCTCCTTCGACAGCGAAATATGTCTAACAGGTAATAACCAGCTTAGCTTTTTTATAAATAAAGTTAAGAGTAAAATTTTCTTATATTAAACGTGAAATAGTTCTTACATCGTTTTGAATAATATCAGGTGTAAGGTTGACAGCTAAAGACATGGAAGAGATCAAGAAGTATCAACGCGACGCTGAAGAAAGCAAAGCTAAGTTACAGGAGAACTAATCTGACCCAATTAATATTACTAGAACGCAATAACACTAATATAATTTAAACACTAAATACTTGAAACACGAACCTAATAAATCATGAAAAAGTTTGTCTACTGATAAATACAAAAAGTGTAAATACAATTATAACAATAAAATATAGCAATATTAAAAATTTCATACATACGGTGTGTTTCTCGTGGGATAAGAATCCATACTATATAACATTGTTATTACATTTTACTGAAGATTATAGGTGGCATTCAAGTGACACGTCATCAGAAAGAAGAGAATTAAAATGTGTAATCTCTCGGTTGAATTAAAAATCGTGCTTTTTAAACTTAATAGAAAACTTAAATTTTTCGAACTTGCACACAATAAATTTACGTAATAAACAATTGATGCAATTTAATATTAAACGTAACTGAAAAACATGTGTATACGAAATAGTATTTTCCTCTCTTGCCAGGGCATAAATGGAAAATTATATATTTTTTGAATCCTACTTTTTAATAGTATGTCAAAAGTAGATAAGTTGATTCTTACAACGTATCTCTTCTCTTCTTATCTCTATTACGTTTTCAGACGTTTAACTCGTGTAGTTCTTATTGCGTAGTAGCATAACGATTATAGGAAGCTGCCGATTAATTAATTTTCATTGATAAACATAAACAAACAATTAATTAAGTTACAAACACACGACAGAAAAAAACTATTTCATACTCATTTTTAATAATGAATTTCTTATTATCATCAATTTTTTCTATACTTGTCATTTCATAACGAGATCTCAAAATCTTTTACATGTAAAATACAAAATAGACACTAATGGAATTAGACGTATATGAAGATCGTATCGAACATCACATCACGTAGGGATTAAAGTAAATGCGAAAACGAATTGGAACAATTCATCTGAGTTATTCACATAGCTTCGTTAACAGACTTCTCTAAGCTGTTAATTGAATCCGTCAATCCGCTAATTCTATGTGCCGTTCTAATACAGAAAGTATCTCTGACTCCTGTAGAACGATCCGATTCCTTATCAGCGTACAGTCGTAACCGCCGTTTATCACCCGAAAAAAGCGGTTTGTAAGAAACGTCTCCGACGGACCGAGCAGCTGCGCTCAGTACATGATCGATCGCCGACGAAGGCACCCGGAACAGTATAAAAACTGGCATTTCCCTAAAAATCTTTAAAACGTTCGAAAGTCAACAGTGACAAAATCGCGAACGAATATCCCTGCACCGTTCGGAATTAAGAAGATGAAGATGTTCTGCTACGCCAAGACGCCAATACTAATTCGTAAGTACAACAAATTTTGTTTCTTTCATAAGCTTATTGATTATGCCCTTAGGAAATGATTAAACGCAAATAGCTGTTACTCCATATCAATTAANAGGTACATGTATATATGGGATGTTTACTTAATTTTTTTTTAAATCGAATCAATCCAATACAGAAATTAAAACATGCGCAAATTACTCGTAATCATAATTAAGTTTACGATCTGCTAATTTGCCAATATCACGATGATTCGAGATTACGAAAGAAGTGGTCGTTTAGATTTTTCCTGATCGCCGGAGATCGAAGACTTAGCATAAAAATCAATGAATAGATGACAAACGGCGAACAATGAGACGATCGTCCCAGTTTCAGATAATTACCTACCAGTTACGTTCGACGTATTTAAGTGTTACGCGTTAAAACAAGAAAATATCTACAGGGTAAAAAATGAATGACGAAATTATGAGTAAGGTAGAACTTTTTTCAACCGGAACTGTCAATAACTTGTAAATTTTGTTCATCAATCATAATTTTTTTATCGCTGCGAATCACACGCGCAGAAGATTCCTAGATTCTCAATAGATAAACTACCGTATTTTCTTATATTTTTCTGACTGATATATGTGTATTTATGCATTCAGTACTCCAATTATTTATGGTAATGCTGAATATAATTACGAACAAAACACGAAATACATTAGCTCATTCCGTAAGCTCACCATGCAAATTCGAATAGGTATTACATACAATGACGTAAGGTGTTTTAATACTCAAACGAAAGTCAAGAAGTCTCGTTAACTGATAGAATAAAAGCAGTAACCTTCTGTGAACTCTTGAATCATTTCTTTCGAACACTGTTCTTACTATAGTTGTATATGAGGGCAGACTAGAGCAGACTAGCTTCCTAGATTCAGTCGCAGACCTACTTTCATCCTCTTTTTTAACGAAATGTTTAGACGCAATTTTCTCGTCAGCCGACCAACACCATAATGAACAGTGTGAATCGCGACTGTAGAAGTTCATTACTAATACTATCATAAAGAGAGAGCTTCTTTTTCCTGTTACTTCTCTCATGGCTACTGTCCACAGTGTCCACTCGTTACACGTCTCCTCGGTCGCTAGAGATAAACGATAAACATTTAGACACCGTATTATTAAACAGTCATATATTGCGAAATAATAAATCGCATACCTGGACGTGAATGCAACACGACGTGAATGCAAAAATTTTATCGATACGCAAGGTCGAATCGTAAAAATATATGAATAACGAAACATCAGGGAATCCACGTGTATGGGCATTGCGAAACTGCTAAAATTCTTAGAAATGGATTCAATAATCACTGAATTGTGCTATGAAATTTTCTTAACAGATAATATCTCCGGTGGAAAGTTCTTAACATTTCAATGCTAAAATTCTTGTTGTACAATAAAAATGGTAAATATTCGACTGAATTGCCAACAACTTTTACTGTTTCAAAGATAATTGACAAACATTTTTAAAATACCTATTCAAATTGAAATAAGATTAATTCATTCTTTCTCACTGAATCAGATTTCTCTGTAGCCAATACGTTAAAACTGGATACGATCGACACTGTTCCTAGTAAACTCGATGCAATATACGTTTCCCGTTGCCTCGTATATTCCCAAACAGCAATTTGTTTAAATCAGATCGTTAAGCAATTTCTGCGCACACGTAACAGCGTCGCGAGTAAACGATGCCCATTACAACCGAAAACGATCGCGTTCCTTTCGCAACGTTCCAACGTACGTACCGTGTCCACGAAGCGTCTGCTCGCAACACCGTACCATGGTGAATGCACCGCGCACGCAAAAAATTACAGGCCTTTCCTCGTATATCTTTCACCCGTTATAATTTCGTGCTCACTGTTTGAACTCCATGGTGTTGATTCTCGAGACCGGTCAGTAATTGAGCTTGAATATAAGAAAAACTTCTACCTCGCTCGCGTCAGTGCTTGGAAAAACACTAGAAATCGAGATTGCAAAAAATAATTGAGGGTTTCGATCACAGCAATAAAGATTGATACAAAAAAGAGTATCAATCAATCGTACCGATTTATGTGTCTCACGGCATGTGAGATCTGCGCGTCACGGAGTACATTAAATAGAACGTCATATAACGATAGTGTCAATAAGAAGAATGATCGAGGGAAGTTGAAAAGTAAGATTCGAGATATTGGACACGTTTATGTTATAATATAATCGTATCAGAGGGAAGAATGTGTTGATATTTGAATATAATCGTTTCTGATAAATGCAATCCAAATATTCATGACATTCTCTAAAAACGTGAATTACTGACGTATCATTATCACCTTGGCACATCATTGCAACCCTGTAAGTATCATTGCGCAACGATGATTGGAATAGATGTTTCTCATAAATGAAGTACAAAGATTGTCGACATTAGCATCGAGGTCGATTTATTACAAAATGTGGAACAGGATTCGTATTAACAATGCGAACGACTAATGAGAGTAAAAATTATGAAACCTCTGATAAAAAGCGTAAAACTCGATACCGTGATCGATCGATTCGAAGAATGCATGAAGGTGATACGTAAATCGTATGTTAAATACGTATCCCGATTTAATAATATGAAAAGTTCACTGCCGCAGATAGCGTCGCAATTGCCGCTAAGCCATGAACTTGCGAAAGCAGATGGAGAAATACGTGTCACGAAAGCGAAGCCTCAATGAACCCCTCGAAGTGACGTGCGATAACTCATCAGCGTGCGATACAATAGACGTGTTCCGAGGAAGAGAAACGATGACTTTCTCGTTATCTCGACATTTGTTACAATAATTGTGCACGCTCGTAATGAAACAAACACGCGATTGTTCAATAGGGGCACGAGTTAATGTTTGTAAGGGCGATAAGATAGGACGGTGCGCGTTTCTTTACTCTTTTAATACTGTCATGTAGTTCGAATCCATCGATCATTATTTATTTGAAAACAACAAAAAATCTCTGAAGAAATTTTAATCCCCTCGTAAAATACAATCTTTATTTAGAACGATTTACGTAGACTTCATATTGTAATGCATTTTGTACCGTAATAATCCTGTAATGAGTTAGGATTAAAAATAGTATTGTATGTAGCTGTAATTGTCAGATACAAAACAGGTTCTATGCAACTTCCTTCTAACTCCATTCATTAATAAGTATTTGACGATGGACGAAATAATTAATCGATTACTCCTGAAGTATTCGAGATAGAAAAGAATTTTTCTTTCTTTTAAGTAATAGCAGTATCTACAACTTTCATTTGTGTCATTCTTCGAAATTTTGAGAAAAAAATAAATTTTAATTTTTTGTTAGTGTCAATAATTAACGAGTAATGTGCAGTAAACCGTTTCATCATTTTTCAAACAAAAGCTGCATTTCTGATCGTCAGCTACAAATGAAATCTTATGTAATTTTTCCGCAAGCCCAACGGTTTAAGATTATTCGAGGAAGGACGAAAATTTTTGCTAAAAGGTTGCTGTTTCGATGGAGAAATTGTCGGATTTTCTTAGTATCAATAAAATGCCGATTAATTATACTTAACTTGTTAAATTCTGCAGTTAAAAGAAAAATACATAGAATATATACATGAAAGCTTTCTTGTACACGGTATCATGATTATTTATGGCGGACTATATTGCAAATCATTAACAAGATCTGTAATTAATCGCGAAGCAAGAAAAGATATTTACATTTTATATTTCTGTAGTAAAATATGACACACATACATTATGTAAATAATGTTCAACAAAAATTCTAATTTACCATAAAACTGTTATTTGCTTCGTACGTCAATCGTTTGCGAATCT